TAAAAATATTTCACAATATTTCAGTATTTACTCTATTTTTGATTAAATAAATGCAGCCTTAGTGAGCATATGAGACTTCTTAAAAAAAAAAAAAAAAAGACATTTACCAGTTGCAAACTTTTGATTGGTAGTGTATATATTGAAGTTCTTTATATAATACGGTAGGCCTATTTGTAGCACCTTAAAAGCTGCCTAGAGATTGAGGGTGTCTTTAAATTTTTTATTTTATTTATTTATTTTTTTTTTACAGTGAATGTCAAATTATGATGAAAATATTCATAGCAGCCCCAGGCCTAGTAATCAGCAGTTTGACAGTGATTGTCCTTCACAGTTAGCAGTATTTTTAACAAGCAAATCCTAAATCTATAAATCTCGAAGGAAAACTCCCCATAGAAGAGCAGTGAGGTAATGTGTCCTTCATGGTTTGATGTGTGAGTCCTGGTGGCTGTATTTTAGTAATGAACAAGAATGATCAAGGCACATAACCTTGAATTGAGATTGATGCCGTGGCAGCAGAATCCCAGCGAGGAAAATTCTGAGATTGCGCCTGTTAAAGACATATGTATGAAAATCATTAGCGTCAGTTCTGTGACTAAAAAGTTTGGAGATGAAAAAGAAAGAAAAAAAAAAAGGTAGTGATACAAAACACATAAGCAAAGTCAAATCTAGTTTAGGATCTGGGCCATTGCATGAAGAAGGGAAGCCATTAAATCATAAGATGTCAACTTCACTTTTCAGAATTATTTCTACTATTAGAACAACGTGTCGTACTGGAGGTAGAGAGCAAAGCTGGAATAGTCATAGTTCATTTTTTCATTTCAGTCGCTAACATATGCCAGTATTCCATCTCTGCGGCCACCAGAAACAAATTCAGTTTTAAAGGCATCGCTGAAGTGTAGGCTCTGCATGGAATGCATTAGTCTCAGCTCATGGCATGAGTGCAGACCGATTGACTCTACAGGCTCAATCAGATAGTCTGGCTGAGGAAACACATACCCTCAGTTGTTATGTGTGTTTCAGGCTCTTTAAAACACAGTGAGTTTCAGATTAACTCTGATTGGATACTTTTTTTTCAATAAAGTTTTTTTTTATGTTTAATTGTAGCACAGTGGCCATTGCAAATGCATCAGTAACAAATTCGGTAACTAAATTATAAATCATTGATTTAATAAATGGGTTCGTGGAATTATTAGATGTTACAGATGGTATGATGTAATCAATAAGTAATGGCAACATTTGTTTTTCCATTAAATTATCAAATTGGTTTAATTTCAACTTCATTTTTTTAAAGTTACACTATAGGTTAAACTTTCCAAAAAAAAAATGTAAAAATTTTTTTTTTTTTGCAACTAATGTAATATAATTTTAGTTGAAATAACTTTCACTGCCAGTTTGATTATTCTTAAAAATGTAAGTTGAAGTAGCTGGAATTAATTAATTGATTTATTTATAATAGTGTATATAGTACATAAAAATAAAAGAATAAATAAGAAATTAAAATATTAAAGATTACATGACATAAATGTTGATCTTGATCTTGACTGATATTTCTACACTTAAATACATTAAATATTTTTTTATATTTTATATGTCAAAATATTTAAGGTATTTAAGTGTACATACAGAAAGCTGATTCCTTATACAGTTCAGCTATAAAATGAAGTCACATTTTCTGTCATATAAATACACATAAAATACAACTACATTTTTTATTTAAAATATTCCATTAATGTGTTTTTTAATCAATATATCATGTTCTCTGTCATGTTTTTATCATGTTAATTCAAATTAACATTTAAAAATAATTTTCAGTTGCATGTGTATTTGATATCTGTGAATATTTCAAGACATTTTTTTTCCTTTTGTGAAACATTTGCAAAAACTTTTTGCAAGTTATCAATTTTGCATTTGTGAATGGAGGGTTTGAATAATCTTTTAAGATTTAGTGCTACTTTATAATAGCATTTATTTTAGACTGAATTATTTTCATACACAAAAACAAATGTTGATCAAGTACAATAATAAAGAATATCAAAGTGTTGAAGAATGGATTTTGTTGGATCATATGACAACATTTTTTATTTTAATAGCAGTATTGCTACACAGTCTCTTATAAAGTGACTCAAGCATAACAGGGATTTCTGAAGACTCTATATTTTCTCAGTCTTTATGTGTTAATATGAAACGCATCACTTCCTCCTCCTTCGACTCCTTTCATCCTCTCATTACAAAGCAGCGCACATTACACTAAAGCCTCTTAGAGTGTCCTATTGGAAATGTCTGTCTGAGGTCTGGCATTAACAGATACCAGAGTTAGTGGTTTCATCTCTGAGCTCCTTTTCCACTCGGCTAATGAACGTCACGGGGCCTTTTAAAAATAGAATGTGTTTTAAAATCAACCGAACAGAGTGATACGAAAATTACAATGTATAGAATGACAGACCGATGCAATCTTAAAGATTACAAATAACTTTATGAAACACATGACACTGAATCACTCGAACTTCCAATTTGCTTCCAAAACAACAAAAATAAAATCCCAGAAAGCATCGCCGCTCTATTTTAACAATCATCTGTCTGGTTTTACTCTCATACGTGTCTGATTGACTCCGACAGGCTGGAGAGGCCTCTTCAAAATTCAACAAAATCTAATAAGCATTAGCCTGTCAGACAAGCTCAACCTTGTGTCACACACACGTTCAACAATTGGCCACCAGGTGAGAGGACTCACCTGCAGAAAATCCCTTCTCCCCGGGGAACTGTCAAATTAGCAGTTAGCTATTATGGAGGCTTAGGCCTTGGACCCGCAGAGAGGTACTAAAAGACAAGAGACTCACGTAACTGCTCAGAGGCCTGGGGGCAATGACATGGCGCAGGGTCTGAGGCAAAACCCAAACCATATTAACATTAATACGCACCCGGGGGCCATTCTCGGAGATTACTTTACATAACGACTAATTGGCCTAATTTGTTAAATAAACACTATATTTTCTTTTGAAGCTTAATACAGGACCACTGGACATAACAGTCACTCTGAGCCGTGCAGCAACACCCACATCGGATCTTGGTGGTCTGCTAAAGTCATTTCCCCTCAAAATGAACCTTATTTCCTCTCTGGGTTCAGGCTCATGTGCGTGTTCGGTTCACCACAGTCATCTAAATGTAGAGATAGTGCTGAATGTAAAGGACGCGTGGACAAGATCGACAGCGGTCAATATTTTTGAACTACAAAGCATAAGTTATTGAATTGCAAAGTTTGGGTTGAAAACAGAACGGATAATGTCTGTGTAAAATACTGCTGCCTTTTCAAGCTAATACTGCTGGGTGGAAAGTCTACAACTAGCTACTTTTTATTTGATTTATTATTATTATATTTTTACACCAGCTGAGCTACACTGCTCATAAAAGTGTTACGTTACCAGTCCAAGCGAGTTCTGGATTCAATAAAACTGGGCTAAATGTATTATTTTTATCCACTAAAGAATCCCAATGCCTTTTATTTTTAATTAAATGTACAGCTAAGTAATCATGGACAAGAGTTGCAAAAAAATATTCTGAAATGATAAACAATGAACTTGCCACAAGACTGTTTTAATAGCTTTATTAGACATTGAAAGGAGATTAAATGTGTTTTCCCTGTTTTGCCAGCATTTTTGTAATTACAGTGCATTCATGAGCAACACTTTCTTCAGCAAGTTTCCACCACATAAAAAAATGAGATCCTTTATGATCTCTGCATTGCTGTGAGTTGTTATTTCATTGTGGCTGAAATCTATAAAGTGAAATTAAAACAGTGAAAAAAAAAAAGGATTGCTCCTCCAACCAATAACATTCATTTGATTGTTCTGAATTTTTGCTGTATGAAAATTGAATAAAAGTCAATAAAATTGTTTTTGTTTTCAGTAACATGTTCATTAAAATATGTACTTTTCCTGTACTGTCAGCTTAGATCATTAAATGAGTTTTCATGTCTTGCTCAAAACCAAACACATTTGTGCTCTTTCAAGTTTTCGGTTTCACTGAGCATTCTGGGAGAGAATTATGGCTTTCCATCTGAGAAATACACATGAGAATGAACAGCATCTGTGTTCTCAAGGATAATTTTATGCAAGTGACCAGCAAAACTCCAGCGTATCTGTTGCTAGATAGATTTATAAAAATCTGCTTATCGTTTTATGTCTGCAACAGCAAGATTAGTTTGCCATTTGGATTAGTTTTATATTTCTGAAATATTGCAGGGCAGACAGACTGTCGGTATTGAATTTGATTAGTTGTGTTAATGAATTTAATTTAAAATACAACGGCACTTTTTCTATGCTTGTCCTTTTAACAGATTTTATCCAAAATATAATCCAATTTTTATTCTGTCACATGCATTTAAGCTGTTATGTCAAATATTGTCGTATATGCTTTTGTGCTGATATTTTAGTGGAAAAATTATCCTTTATTCCAAATTAATTCCATAACTTTACAAGATGGTGCTGACAATGTAGATGATTTGGGGTAAATGTGCAGACAGATAGACACCGGATAGCACCCCATAACCCCTCACCCCATTGCCCGTCCCACCCCTAAGACCCCCATAACCCCTTCGATCCATTCCACACTCACTTTTTGGCTGCTTATGCAAATAATTTATCAGAAAAAGTGTCCGTGGGATTGGATAGCCCGGGTCCAAAATATCATACCCCAGTTTTCACGAGCCCGGAACTAGCTGGCTGGCCTCAAATTTATTGTACCTTGCCGTTCTGGAGGAAGATTGTATGCATGTGGTCAGTAGCGAGGAGCCTACGACCCAACCTCCCTCTCATGTTACGCCCTATATATATAACATCCATTCCTCCAGCACCTCGGTTCAACCCCCCTTCCCTCATTCCCTCGCTCCAACTCCACTTCTCTAGAAGCGCTGTATCCAGTCGGGCCCAGACGGCTCTGTCTTTCCCTCTCCCTCTCTTTCTCTCTCTCTCTCTCCCGTCTGTCACCCGAGCTTCCTCTTGCAGGCTGTGTGTGTTTACCCTCTTTTTCGGCCTGGCAACGGGGCTGCATGCTCAGGATTACCGGAGGCCTTGCCTTTCATCGCCGCCCGCTCCCTCTTCCTTTGGCCGTTGTCTCCTGGACTACGGTGGCCACGGGTGCGAAGCTGTGTGATTTTGGGGGTTCCCTGGTTTCCTGCTCACGGAGTTAAGTGGATTTGTAGATACTATAGAGACATGGATCACTCTTTGTTCGCATGCCTTCGGAGCCCGTATGCCCCGTCCCAAGCCCTGCACCCAGCATTCACCCAGTCCTCCCTTGCCCTGCACGGCCGCTCTGACCACATTTCCTACCCCGACCTCCCGGGACCCTCGCCGCCCTGCAGCTACGCGGGGGAGGATGGTGGCTTCGGAGGACCTCATCTCAGAGTTCACCCCTCTCCGCAGAATCCACACCACTCGCAGCATCAGCCTTCCTGGCATGTGCCGCAGATGCCGTCGATCAACAGCGAGCGCCACGGCCTCTACCTGCCGCACCCTGATGCCGCGGCTCCAGAACTGTGCGGTGCAGGAGGAGCGGGTTCGCAGGGCCTGTGCACGGGTAACCCAGCACTCTCTGGAAGTGACCCTTCTGGGGTGTCGTGTGTGTCTGGAGAATACGGGAGACAGACCATGTCACCTGTTGAGCCGGAGCGACGGAATAGCAAAGGAAAGAGTGACAGTTCAGGTACGCAACTCAAAACGTTTTCTTCCGTGTATGCATTCAGTAAAAAAGGCAGTGTGAACTTGATTTTATTTCTTTATTTTTCTTAATAGTTAATCAATTATTATGATTATTACAGTATGAATAATTCAAGTGTTTTCCATGACTCGAGAACTGAATATTGTTTATTTTATTACTCATCAGATTTATTCAGAATAGCACAAGTAAAAGACTTTTATCAATCAAAAATATATATATATATATTTTTTATAATATTTGTTGTATTGTTTATTTTCTGTAATCTGGACTCGGAACTGAGATTTGGAGTTTAATTGTGATAATGTATTTGAATAAATATTAAGGAGAAATGCATCCATACACCAAATTATATGTTTAGAAAATAATTTTATTTTATTTTAATAGTTTGTGTAATATTCAGTAAGAATTCAAAGATTAATGTACCATTACATTTTGACATAAATAAAATGATTTAAAATAGGAAAAGAATTATCAAAGAATTAAATAACTTTATTTTAAACTTCAAATTTCAAATAACAATTAAGATAATTTTTATTTATACAGTTTAGTCCATATCAAGACAATTTAAACAAAAATGGTTCATATGTACTAAATTGATTTTATTTTATTTTAATTTTATTCTATTTTATTTTATTTCTGCCGCACTGTAAAAATGATTTTTTTAAGTTATTTCAGTTTTTCTACTTCAAAGTTTCACATTTAATTCAATGTGTTACTTGTCATTTCATTGTAAATTGTGAAATTTATTTGCAGTTTCTGAGTGGAAAAGTAAATCCTACACCATTTTTTTTCATTCATCATTTCATACGACTGTCCTCTGTTAGAAAAGACATAAGCAAAAGAGTGTCAATAATTTTTACATCTGACGTTGAGATCAAATCCACGCAGACACAAACCACTCTAATCCATCCATGAACCGTGTAGAGGAACATGCAAAATTTACAAATAAATCAAACTGAGCAGTTGTTATAAATATGGTCAAAAGCAGCTTGATATTTCTTAGTCTTTTAGAGAGAATACTTCATGATATGAGAAAAAAATTGAAGGTTCATTAAACAAAAAGCAGGGCCAGAATCCTGACTGGGCTGGACACGGCACAGTAGTGTTTTAATGGCAGGGCCTGCTGCTGTAGGGCTGCCCTGTTTCTTTCTCTCATCAGTCTCAGAGGTGTAAGTCACTCTGGCATTTACCCTCAGGTCTTTAATAGACCACAGGTGAAAGCCGCTGTTAAATGCTCACACTGCCCGCAGCTGCGCTTTTGATACCCCCAAACACATACTCACCATTTACGGCTGGGGAAAACAGTTAAAGCTGCAGCTGAAGAATTTGTATTTAAAACCTGATCCTTATATTTCAAGAACAATAGAAAATCTATCTATTTAAAATCGGCGCAGAAAATGTAACTTGGTTGTTTTGCACTAACACACAGATCTTGCCGTATAAAGTGGAATTGTGAACAGAGTGAATGTCTTCAGGAAAAAAGTCACTGCTGTGTTTAAAAAGATTTAGTTCACTTTTTTTCACCTTTACAGTAGATGAACTGAATTACTCCAGCTTATACTATACATCTAAGATTGTTTTCTGTCAGTTTAGTCATGCCATGAAGGGTGTCTACATGCTGTCACTTTTCAGCCAGGTGCCTGTAATTTATGGCATGATGGCATACTGATGGATTCGCCCAATGGTAGTAGACATTTCCAGAAGGCTCCTGTTGGCTTTTGCTGTGCCTTTATACCAAATCTAGTTTCCTCCAGTCTGTTGGCAGTTATCAAAGCCAGTGTGGTTTCCATTTAGAGCCGTGTCACATAACGAGATATTGCAGCGATAGGCTGAACAGATTATAGATTATTCCGAAAAGTGATGTTAGATATGAAATATGAGTTTCAAATCTCATAATCTTGTGTTCTGTAAAAACCTCGGATTTCTAGAGCAGTTGTATTTTTATGCCCGTTTCAAAGCAGCCAAAAATTTGACATCTAAATCACAACCATCCCTGAATGGCAAGCCAAAAGATATTCATTGGAAACATATTTTCCTTTAAATAATTTTTTTAAACAAATTGAATGAGTTGTATCAGACTCTCTCTGTCTATTAACTGATTAGTGTTTTCATTACGCTGTTAGTCACATTATTAAAAAAAGCAAACATTTTGAGATTTGAAAATTAGTTGGGTAGAAAAGAAAAGGGCTGTGTGTGAAATTCAAACTTACAGTAGGCCTAAGAAAATGTACATAAAATCATAAGGAATTGTGTAATAATGAGAATGTTATTGGTTGCTATTCACATATGTATACTGTGACACTGTGACCTGTGATTTGTTATCTATTAAAAAGCTATTTCTACCTGATCAATCCCTTAAATTGAGTTTTGTTGGAAAAACCTAATTTATTTAGGTTGATTTAGTGACTAAATAATAGTTTAGGTTTTAATAAAATCAGTTAATTTAGATGTTAACAAATAAAGTATTTATTTAATTTTTTAAACAATTGCTTTAGCCAATTGCTATTCTAACATGGCAAAAATAATTCTTCATAAAATAAAAATACAATCAATTATTTGCCCTGGAATTGACATACTTTGCTCATGATAATCTATTCAGTTTCATTGTTCATTTTAAAGAAGCTAGGCAGTACCAAAGTAAATGTTTCTTTTTAACTGTAGCATTTAAAGTAATAAATGATTAGATCAAACTGTGATTTTATACCCTATATATTCCTATTTTTGCAGATTAATTTTACCTCAGTAATATAGATGCATCATAACTTTATATATTACTCTAACTATTATATATTGTATGACAAGCCTCAATCAACACACATACAGCTAAGGTTGAATTTGATCATTTTTGGACCAATCAGAAATGTTCCTTGGGAAAGCTTCATGTTTTCTGTTAAAGGAGATGTGTGTGGAAAATGAAGAGTAAACTGATCTGATTGTTGAAGAGTGTGAACGAAGCCCTGTTGATTCAGGCCAGATTTGAGAGCATGTGCTCCGTTCTCCGCCTGCTAAAAACACCAGAGCCATATCGCCATAATAAAAGGTGATTGGCAGGCCAAATTGTTCCGCTTTCATTTTTATTTTTGTTCGTTTATTTTATTTCAGAGCCCTGCAGTTTATCACACCATCTTATTTTTTCACCCCTTTGCTTTCCCTTAATGTTTTTTTTCCTCTCTTTTTCTTTTTCTGAGCATTTACAGTGGCTGGAAAATGATCTGTTTTTCATTTCAGATTCCCAGGATGGGAGCTATAAGTCAGACGTGAGCAGTAAACCTAGGAAGGAGCGCACAGCCTTCACCAAGGAACAGATTCGAGAACTGGAATCAGAATTTGCTCACCACAACTATCTGACAAGGCTTAGACGTTACGAAATCGCTGTCAACCTTGACCTCACAGAGAGACAAGTACGTTCAATGCTGAGCCTGTTTTCACATGTTACCAACAGACATAACACTGGCACTTCCATTGGCTTTGAAAATAATTCTTTGCTTGGCTGGTAAAAAAAAAAAAAAGGCTTTGCAAAGGCTGACTTCACTTAAAGTGATTAAGTCGTATAAAGTGATAAACGCAATGCTAAATGTTAGTAAGTTTCAACCAATTACATAACATGAGCTCATTTACTGATATAAATCTCAAAATATTTCGAGAGAGAGAGAGCTCTCAAGAAATTTGGGCTCTGTGTTGAGGGGTCCAGTCTATTTGTTAGGCTTGCTACTTAAAAAATAAAAAAAAATAAGTAAATAAAAATGCATATTGAATCATGTAAATAATGACAGTGAAGTCTCATAAACTGTCAAATGTAGCCATGATGTTAAATCTCAGGTTCTAAAATACATTATATTTTATTTATACATGTGAACACGCTTTTTTTTTGTATATATTATAGGTCTCTTTGAATTTAAGAAAATTTTTGAATGACTTTTATTAGATAAGACAGAGAGAAAGTGACAGAGAGAGAGAGAGGAACAACAGGAGTGGGACACGATCTAGGCTGGACTTGAACCAGGGTCCACATGCACATTTTTATTGCATATTACATTCATTCAAAGGCATCCAATTTTCCCATCTGCTAATTAACTGCAATTGCAATCATATAAACCTTTCAAAATAGTGACAATGAAAAGCATATAGTGGAGACTGGGGGCGAATTGCAACAGAGGTGTATAGTATAACATTTAGAGTAAAAAAAAAGTTTTTTAACATTTTTTTTTTTTTTCAAACAAATTGAAATGTATGAATTAAAATTTCTGTTGGTTTTATTTATATCAGAATTTGGCATTTTTTCAATTTCATAAATTTACTGTTCATACTTTATTGCAAAGACAATAGTAGCTGTTTACAGTGTTTCTCAGTCGCTTTGGTGCATTTCTCAGATCAGAAATGAAATTCTCAAAACTACTTGTTCAGCCTCCACATCATCTAGTCAATTGTGCACATTATAAAAGCAGCTTCTCATTCATTTGAACAAGTTGCGATTGCTTTGGTACATTCATGCAATTGATTATGTACATTTATCTGCGGTTTCCTACATTATCAGTTGCTAATGTCATGTTGCTCAAAATTTATTATATAGTTCTCTGTGAAACAGTCTTACCCCCCAAAACATCTAGTCATTAGTTCATCGTATAAGTCATTAAATGCAAAATGGTTGATCTAGTTGTTATAAACTGTCAACCACATACAGTAATGTGTAAATTTGTACTTTTGAAATGGATATATGACATACATAAGAAGTGCAGCCTTCTGCATTTCAATACAGTAACTGTCATCCAAACTGTTGCCATAGTTTACATCAGGTAATACTAACAAAGTGCACTGTTATATTGACAACATGACTAAGCATTTTGACTATCTTGTTTGTGAACAATGACAGAAGGACTTTTCATTCTGATGGCACTGATATGTTCATTGACATAAATACTTGCTTTCGAGAGACGAACTAAAGATTTTGAGTAAGTTACAGGCTTTTGCAGGTAATCCATGGTGCTGTTTGTACAAATTGTTTTGAGAAATGCACATACTTCTTTGCAAATATTAAGGATGATTCGAGAAATGCACCAAAGTGACTGAGAAAAACTGTAATGGCAGACTTCATTGTGACAACTTTCCCCATAGACATGCCCTGTTGTTGAGGCACATTGTCACAAAAGTTCTGAATAATCATGGAATCATTTTAATTTAGATAGATAGATAGATAGATAGACAGACAGACAGACAGACAGACAGACAGATAGACAGATAGACAGATAGTTTATCTGCGGTTTCCTACATTATCAGTTGCTAATGTCCTGTTGCTCAAAATCTATTATATAGTTTTCTGTGCAATAGTCTTACCCCTCAAAACATCTAGTCTTTACTTCATCTTATAAGTCATTAAATACAAAATGGTTCATCTAGTTGTCATAAACTGTCAAGCACATTTTTACACATTATTATTAGACTTTTTGCAAATTTGCCATGAATTGTGCAAGTGAATCTTGACTTTCACTAATGAAGAGAATGTAGATCAGCTAATGATAAACTAGTTCTCTGAAATAGCTCAAAGGTGCATCTCATGAACCTTCAATTGGAAAGCATAGACAGAGGGCAACACAAGAGTTACAAATTCTGACAATGGATATTTCCTCCCCTTTGGCCTTGTAAATCAACAGTAGCTCTGTGGCTGATGACATTTCAACTATACCTTCTGCTTTTGGTCAGGTTGAAGCCAGCCTCATCCACATATACAGTACTGTATGAAGTTGTGAGATGGTTCACTTGACTCCAATTCCACGTTGCATTGCAAGGGAAGATATTCATTGTGTGGCAGACTTCATTGTGACAACTTTCCCCATAGACATGCCCTGTTGTTGAGGCACATTGTCACAAAAGTTCTGAATAATCATGGAATCATTTTAATTTAGATAGATAGATAGATAGATAGACAGACAGACAGACAGACAGACAGACAGATAGACAGATAGACAGATAGATAGATAGATAGATCGATAGCTTTCTTCAAAATGGCCCACACAGCCATTCCAGAGTTTAGATTCATTCCAGCTCAGTCTTGACCTAAAAAGAAGCTTTACTGTATATGCAACTCACTTAGGATTTGCATTTTTATGTTTTATTCCCCTTTCTCTTTGCTACTCCTCCACACAATTGCTTCCTATCCAATAACTCCCAGCACAGATCCAATAAATCTGTGGACGTGGGTTGATCTCAGACCTTAAACAACAAAGTCTGAAAACCAACCCTTTCTGTGTACCTTCGCTGTATTATATTTATATTTATTCCACACACACACACAAATACTTTGAATATGTAGACAAATGCATACTGTTATCAAATAATATAAATGAAATGGGAAATATGCACCGATCCATAAAACCTGTAGTTACTAATCCAAAGATTTGAAAAAAAAAAAAGTTATCACACTTCATCTAACTGTTTTTGTCATGTAAGGTAATCTGCCGACTCAGTTAAAAGCTCACTCTAAAATACCTGTGCTGCACTTCCTAAAATAACCCTCTCAGCCTGAAATAGTCCCCCTGTCAAGCCAGAGGTGGGGGGTGAGGTGCCGCCACTCGGTCCAGATCTGATTTAGGCAGCAGCTTGATCATCCCAGCGGAGGCACAAATACAGAGCAAAGTGTCAAGTCAGGACCTGGAACTTGGGCCAATGAGTGACCAGGAGTTTTGCATCAGCACATAACTGACCAGGTGGAAATAGCCTAGAGAGCCAATGCTAGTGCCTCACAGAGCCAATCATATCGCTGATCCACCAAACTTCCCAGAAATCTGCTCCAGAAGAAAAACACAAGAGTCCACCAGATCCACAGCTGCTTTAAAGACTAAAAGAAGATATGAAGGACCCACAAAACACATGAAATGAGGTGTTTTAGTGGTCTATACGTGTGGGATCTGAGTGCTGTGTTGGCAGAAGTCTTTGAGAGAAAGCTTTAAATCTGTCGCTCATCCAATCTGATACACGCGTGCAGTTTGAAGGGAGTTCTGATACAGAGGGCGTGATGGTGGTTTTAGAGTGGGGGTCTGCGTGCCAAAACAACTCTTTCTGGAAAGTGCCATAACACACACCCTAACACACGTTCCCACAAAGTGGCGTTGAGTTTCCCTGATGCAGATTTTGGGCGCCTGTGTTGCTAAGAGACCAATAAAGTCCCATAAATATTGTGTGTAATTGACTACTGTATAATAGCTTTGCCAAAAATGTATCTCCTAATAAGCAAACAACACTTATTTATTCATTTGATTTTACTTGAATGATATTTGGTATACAACATTTATTTGTTCATAATTATTATTACAAGTATACTTAATATAATACAGGGTTGGGAAAATTTCAGAATATAAGAATTGACTCCCTTGCAGTTGCAGAAAACAAAATTACTTAATTTTTTACCTACTGTAAACAATGCAAAATACATTTCTTACCTCAAATAATTAGACGTTTTTCTGAAATTGTTAAAATCCATTCAAAAACTGTTAAATTCAAAACATTTAAATGTTGCCAGACAGCAGCACAAATGTGTCCACAGTTTTCAGATAATGTAAAATAAATTAAAATAAAGATGTGTAATATGAAATAAATGCAAATACACAAAACTAAATATATAAAATTGTATTTAATATTATGATTATTCAGTTTAATTAAATAAAACATTGAATTAGAGCATTTGTTAAGTTCTTTCCTATAGTCAATGAAATGGTTAATTTATTACAGTTTTTCTCAATTGCTTTGGCACATTTTTCGAAACAATCTTAACATTCTCTAAACTGTGAGTGCAAATGTCACAACTCTTTGCTGGAACTTCAGAACTTTATTGCATGTCTGCAAATTGTAGTTACTCACCCAAAACATTTCATTCATGCTTCAAAACCTAGTTATCGTGTCAGTAATTTGGCCAAGGCCACCAAAATATAAAGTATTTTCTGTATGAAAATATTTATAAATGATATACAAATTTATATCAGTAGCTTTTTAAATTGCAAATCTAATGGAAATGCCTCATATTTTGTGTGCAGGGTTGTTATCAAAAACTAAAACCATTAAAAAAAATTTCATTAATTGAAATAAAATAAAGATTAAACAAAACAAATAATAAAAAAAAAAAAATATATATATATATATATATATTTCCGGTAATTGAAGAGGCAAACATTTTATATAATAGTATATCAATGATACCAAAATAACACTGTGTGTGATAACATTTATGGGCAATTCATACTGAGAAATACTATTGAGAAGTACTATTAAAAATGACACTGTTTTTTTTTATTTCATTCCATTTTAATTCTACCTACTTGAATTTAAATTTGAAATAAAATTCTCCATACTGTTTGCTTTCTACTTATGACTGCTTTAACAGTAATTCTCTTGCACGCAGGTAAAGGTGTGGTTCCAGAACAGACGGATGAAGTGGAAGCGGGTGAAGGGAGGTCAGCAGGGAGCCGCTGCGCGGGAGAAAGAACTGGTGAACGTAAGGAAAGAAACTCTCTTGCCTTCTGAGTTCTCCCCAATGGTCGGACTGCACCATCCCATGGGTTCGCCCAGCAATGAGGACGACAGTCACGACAGTGACCAGAGCTCTGAGCACGCGCATTTATGATGCCCGCACTCCAGCTAGTCACAACCTGCCAATTTTCCTCAGGAATCAACTATGTTGGTACTCCGAAGGCTGTTAACGACTAGTTCTGGGCTGTGTTTTGTTATTTCATTCTGAGTGTTTAGGGTTTGTTCTTGGTCTGTGAAACAGACAGGGTTGCAAACCAGAGCTCAGCCCCCAGTGGCACCGAACTTTGAAGATTAGTCTAAGTAATAGTCAAAGGGGTTTAAAGGTAGCCACATTTTTGAAGAGACTATATGCATTTCATCCAATTTTGACATTGTAAATGTAAGTTTGAATGTTGTAAACATTCCACATGAGTGCCTTGGAGAGGATTTTTGCACTGTTTTCATTTTTGCCCTAACGGTTTGCTACTGTATTTACACACAGTTTTTGATAAAAAATACCAATAATTACAAACACATCGACATAGTCTGTGACAGCACAGAATAAGGATTATCTTAGTCTGTTTGTAAAGGATGCCATTAATTGCAGCCTATTTTTGATTAATTGATGAATTATAATGAAACAATAGTTTTAGACTGATGTAAACATTTGATTTTAATAAACATTTAATTGAGAAGGATAATGAAATAAAAATCTAACACATTATGGGTATTTTTTTCACTTGCCTTGCCAGATTCTTGTGTACTTAAGGACTGCAAATAATGTTCCATGATCACTGAAGTCATTGAAGTCATTTAATTGAGTCATTAAAAAAACATTACACTACACTTCAAAAATTTGGGTTTGGTAAGATTTTTGTTCATGTTTTTGCAGAAATCTCTGATGCTCACCAAGGTTGCATTTACTTGATCAAAAATACAGTAAAGACAGTGATATTATGATATATTATTACAAGTTAAATAACTGTTTTCTGTTTTAATATATTTAAAAATGTAATTTATTCCTGCAAATCTGAATTTTCAGTATCATTTGTTACATTATAAAAGTTTTTACTGTCACTTTTATAATGAATTATTACTGAATAAATGTATGAATTTATTTAAAAAAAATAAAAAAATAAATCTTACTGACCCCAAACTTTTGTATGGTAGAGTTCATATTTATAAATGCAACATTACATATGGCATATTTTTCTGTTTTTTTTTGTTTCTGTTCAAGTTTATAATATAGTTGATATCTTTTATTTACCATATAAATAAACAAATCTTAGGTATTTCAATTTCAGCTTTTTTTCATGACAAACTTGCCCAACAAATGTCACAATAAATAAAAATGTTTTAATGGAAACCTTACCAAAGGTTGAAGAGGATTATGTGATTATGTGAAGAAGTAATATTATGGTTTGGTGTTTCTGTGAAGACCACGTGAGTGAGCATTCTAATTTCTGGACTGGCACTTTATCAAGTCGGCCAACTTCTCGAACGTCTTTGCTCATATATGAGAGCAGCTGGTGATTCGATAGCTGCAAAGTTTGGACTCGTTTGATTTGTGGCTTTGCCGTTCCCTCAACACATAGGCAAAACCCAGGCTAAGTGGATTTGTTTTCAGTTGTGGTCAAAGCCAGCCATGCATTTTCCCTCTGTGGAAGACGTTTTTGATTAGCCGTCCGATTTAGATGTTTGTGTATGATATACTGTGATCAAAGTGAGACAAAGAACGATCCCCTTGGGGAAACAATTCGTGGCTTTCGAAATGAATGGGAAATATATTTATGACCCCTCAAACCCTGCCAAGCACCCAGCTGCACTGATCACAGCCGTGTCTAAACAACACATGATGAATATGGCCCGTCAGAAGCGGCCCCAAACCGACAAATCAATAAAAACACAAGCAAATAAACACAAATCAAGACAAACATGACTTGGGTATGAAAAATACACCACAGATCACAAACAAAGCTGAGCACAGACACACACACAGGTAAACAAGCAAGACTTTTTTTCTGTTTGTCTTTCCAAACAAATGTAATTTTGTACAAGTTTGTTGATTTGCTGCTGGTGTGATGCTTCTTTCTCTCCGACCACTTTGAATACAGTGGAAAGAAGTGGGATCTTAATATTTACTCACCCTTATGTTGTTCCAAATCTGTATAATTTCTTTCTTCTGTGGAGCATAAGAAGATATTTTGTAGAATGTTGATAGCCAAAGTCAGTTCCCATTGACTTGATTGGTCAAATAAATAATGGAAGTCAGTTGGAACCGAAGCAGTTTGGTTACCACCTTTCTTTCTTTCTAAATTATGACAGAATTTTCAATTTTGTGTGGACTATCTTTTTAAAGGACAGTTCACCCAAAAAGATGTACTCACCCTCATGTTGTTCCAAACCTGTATGACTTTCCTTTTGGAAGAAATTTTGCGTGAACCGTCATTTTAAATCAGAAAGTTTAGTTCTTGTTGTTACAGACAAATGTCGCCCACAGTGATTGTCTTGAAGCAGTACCCTCCGGGCGCAGTTTTATTTGCACAGAGTGCAAGATAATCCCATTTCTTCCTTGCATTTAAGTAATTATTTAGCTTTATATTGTTCTCCTGAGCATCTAGAAATTTCACAGCCAGTGCGTGCATTGCAAGAGGAAGGTTTTTTTTTTCCTCCAAAAAATAAAACAGTTGTTTTGGAGTACCTCTGGCCCATGTTACTTTTTGATCCTGAATGAACCTTCTACCTTGACCCCACAGGGAACAACTTTCCTTTAGCAGGAAGGGTAATGTTGTCATTTCTTCATGCCATGCCAAGAACAACACAGCCAACTGAAGAGTTTTCCACACAGGGTCTGAGTGTCTGCACAGCCTCCTTCCAAAAAGTGATTTAGGGTAATTTTCAGCGCAACTGTAGGTGTTGATGGATGATGTTCACTGAGGTACAATACCCCGTATATCACGTTACTGTTGTTATTTTCCTTCTGATGGCTGAACGAGCCCAATCTTTTCTTTGTCTTTCATCAAGGAACAAAAGCGACGGTTGCGCAGGTAATGAAACGTTGCCATTTTTATAGAGACTGCAGCTCTCTGCGTCCGTGAAAGACATGTCTAGAGAGTAAATGACTACGAATACGCCTGCTCTGAATTTGTCAGTTTCTGCAAACCGTTTGGTTCAAGGCCAGGTCATGATGCATCTGGGACACATTAAAAAAGGCCATCTGTGAAAAATCTAGAACGGTTACATGTTTACTTAAGTAATTAGACACAACTTTGAATTAAAATCACATAAAAAGCACACAATCGTCTATATTTGCTATGTAGGGGATATCGTCAAATTACACACCTTTAAAAACTATTAAAATGCGTTCTGTGTTCTTTCACATTCTTTCATTCCACTGTACTGTATGTGTTTGAACCTGCTTGAATTATGAGGACTATGCATCGAGACAGATTTAATAATAGCAGTTCAGACCAATCCAATGATGTGGTTTAATCATAATATCACATACTCAGTATTCGGCTAGGGCTCAGGAAACTCTTCTGAATCTTAAGAATATGACCGGATGATACAGGATGACGAAATGCAGGAAACCACAAACCCTCCAATAAACTGGCAGGGGACCATGACTGACGGCTGTTTTAGCCATTTAGAATCTTATTTATTGGCACAACAGTCACTTTTACTACAGAAGATCTGGGCCAGGAACTAAAGCTAACAGCGTAAAATGGGACTTCACACCTGGAGCATTAAAACCCACAAGTCACGAGTACAGAACAGAGAAGAACTCCAATTATTATGGAATTATGAATGCAAGTAAGAAAATACTTTATAATAGAAAAGTAATATTTTCCCTTTCCTTAAATTTTTTTCCATAGCTGCTATGAAATATACAATAATATCTGTGAATTTGATATGTATTAATTACTATGTTTCATAATCCAATGCTAAAAAGGTAGATAGCTTATAAAAGAATTAGCCAAAGATATGATTGAAAAAAAAGTTAACATATTTCCATTGCAATATTCTGTGTAGAGGCTGCTTCCACTGCATTCATATCCATTCTGTCACACAATGTTGCTTCTTCACAACAAATACATTTAACCAATTCCTCAAAACATAAAAAAATAGAGATATCCTGTGTGTGTTAAAATAATTTTAATTTACAGCCCATTTTGGGCTAATTTTACTATTTGAACCCAGTATAGTCATTTTTAAACAATAGTTGAGTTTTGATATTTTGAAGTACGTTGTGTTGAACATTTAACCCAACTAATCCTGGGTCAAAATAACCCAGTGCTGGGTTGCCAAAATTATCCAGATTTGGGTTATCTTTTTACTGTTTATTCTGCATAATCTTTTCAATATAAATCGTTTAATTATCATTGTACATGCATATGTGCTTACAAAGAAAATGGGTTTGGTAGAGGCAATATCACGCAGCAGAGTTAACACTTTTCTACTTATAAATAAGAAAACTCCTCCAAGTAAGGAGTCATAATCTGAAATTTAATTAGAAACGCATTTTAGACAAAACTGAGGGGGGAATGTTGATCTAATTTGATTTCATTTAATATTTTTCACACTTTAAAAACAGTTCTCACATCATCCACAAAGTTGGCAGCAAGTTCCTTTTGACTGAAAACACAAACATGTGTACCACAAATGCATTTTTTCCATTCGGGACCACAATCCAAGACTTGCAAGTGAGAAGTGATAGCACATTAGTTTAACTGTTTGGCACCAGCTGAGTGTTTAATGTTTGGGATTCAAGAGGACAACTTATCATAATTTTATTGATTTATCTTGAGAGGACTACATCATGCATTTGTGGTAAAGCAAGCTCCAGAATGTTCCTTGGCAGCAGGTTTGCAGTACAGCACTGAGGGGGAAATGATGGTTATCAAGTTTGTCCAAACGATGGCGATACACAGACCCAGGCAGATTATTTCCAGAACCTTATACTGCCTGTTCTCACTGATTGAGCCTCAGTGCAGAATGCAAAGTGCAGCTGTTGGTTTACTGCCGGGGACTTGGTTTCCCAATTAACTGTCTGATCCAATCTCGCCTTGTATCCCAGCCCACCTGTATACACACTCCATGAGATTCCAGTCATTCCAGGGCGCTTCCAAACACTCCCTGCCTCCACTGGAGGACCACCTGCACTACTGCACACGCTACAGTCAACCTCTGCAGCTCATGTTGGACATTCTCTGCCTCAGAAAACATATACACTGTTATACACAAGTTATAGTTTAATTGCTATGATACTGTTTTTGAAATCAAATATTTGCATAACTATGACAGGAAACACTGGCATCTAACAATGCTTTGGGAAAAAAAAAACAGTTCATCTTTTGTAATTTAATTACACATTTTAACTAGCTAATTCTTTAAGCATATTTTTCCATCAGAAGTTGCACTGAAAGTATAAATAGTAACCTACATCATGTAGGTGTGGACTATCATTCATAGGTGTGGAAAAATAAAATTAGCCATTTTTCATTGCTCTCATTTTACAATTATTAAAAATGCTA